AAGGAAAAGATGGAAGAAGACAGAAAGATGATGGAATGACATCCAAGACCCAGGTGACAAATCCAGAAGTAAAGCACTGGCCTGGAAGGAGGTTAATGCCTCAAGTGGAGCAAGTAATGGTGTTTCAGGAGGGGTCTGGGCCTCAGGAAAGGAGACACAGCTTAGGCAAGGGCTGAGAGACCATTCTGCAGGCTGGAGTCCAGCTGAGGCATCAGCCGGAGAAGGGACTGCCCTTCTCCTGCCTGCTCCACAGAAACCCAGCCTCCAGTCTTAGCAGCTAAAAACATCAACTAATAAAGCAAACTATAGGTTTCACTCCAGTTTATGGCAAAGACCCTGAGGATCCAGACGGAGCTGCTGCTCAGCTCTTTGGCTGAAGGCCAGGCTGCTCCGGCCCACTGCACCTCCCGTGACACCAGGCCAGGTGTCGCAGGACACAGGGTGACAAAGCAGCACCAAAGGGGCCCTTCTGATCCCGTTCTGCAATCCTCAGAAACACGAGGAGGCAAACGCGCAGGCGAAGGGAGAGGTAGGATACACGGCCAGCTAGAGCAACAGGATAGCCGTACCCCGCCGTGTCCCTCGGCCGGACAGGACAGCTCCTGTGGGACAGGGCAGGCAGTGGGGAATACGAGAAGGAAATGCCAGCTCTGGAGGACTAAGAGGGGTCAGCACGCACAGCCTCGGGGGATTACAACCACAAATCAGAGGAAAAGTTGATCTGTGGCAGTTTTCAGTGCTCTCCTTTTACAGGTGCATCTCTGGGCTAGATACCTAGCCGAGAGAAATCCCAAAGCACCCCTGACGGAGCGGTGCCAGTCAGCCCTGGCTGCGCATTGCCCCTCTGCCTGCCCGTGCCCCGTGCAAATGTGTGATTACACAGCAATTACCCACATCCACCCGGACTGGGAAATAGCCCAGCTCCATTTCTCTACCTTTCTTTTACGTAGTGGTGGCTGCGAGGGGCCGTTCTGGGCACTCCTTTCCCTGGAGACAAGCACGGCAGAGGCACAGCCCCGGCTGGTCCTCGCCCACCTCCACCAGTCCGGCCATCGCCCCCGCAGCAGTTACCGGTCTTCGCAGGACACCCCACCCAGGCACCCTGCCCGTCCAAGGCACAGAAGGCACTCCAGACTCCTCCGCACAGCCATGTGCCTTATTATCTCTAATTAATAATGCTAGGACAGATTTTTCCATCTATCTTGCCAGCACATACTGCAACAGACGTTTAATATTTCCCACAAACCTCCGACAGGCTGAAGTACCACGCAGCACCTGGCCAGCTGTTTTCCCCAGCAAATGCTGGCCGCAGGGCTGATTTTGCAAGGGACGCCAAAGCTATTAGCCAGCTTCCCACCTGCCTTCCTCCAGCCTCTCCTGCTCAGGGGGCCTGATGATATATGAAAGTTCAGGTGAGAATTCAGAGTGAACGAGCAAGCCTGCGTTTAGCTCCCTTGAGGACTCTCAATTTGAAATGGCCTTTGTTCACTCGCTGCATGACATTTTCTAAATGAATAATTCCAGGGTTTTTTTTGCTTTTGTCCCAAGTTTTAAGTCAGTTCTGGAGAAAAGCAGACAGCATGAATAAAAACAAATGAGAAAAGCCAAAATGTGTTTCACACTGATAGAAACAACCAGAAACAGACTGTTTGTGAATGCCTTTTATATTTAAAACTCTTCATCACAGTCAAACCCAAAGCTTGCACATTTACCTGAATGGAAAAGTCATTTCCAGCAAGTCGCTAATTAACCTGCCTCGCTAGAGAACACAGCATCACGCAGGGAATTTAGCCCAGCCTTAGAGAGGCTGGTATTGAAAACCCATTTTCTGTCTTGGTGGTGGTGCAGCAGCAAGACAGAAATCAGCAGCAGGACATAAGTCTACCCAAGGACTATACACTGCAAGATTTTGTACTTTGAGAAACGGATGCCAAAACAGCTCCTGCTTTTCTATACCGGTATCTCAGCTGGCTGGCAACTGCATTGATGCCTCATCGGCTGCACGTGTTTTATGGATCTGCGAGCTAAAGCTGGGGCGATCCCACGAGTGCACTGCCAACACAGGCAGGGTCTCGGCATGGCGCCGCTGCCCTCTGCGCTCCAGGAACAGCCGTGCTGTGGGAAGCCGGAGAGCGAGAACTGTAACACATTAACTCCCTGTACCAGCATCCTTGTCTGGGGCTGCACAAAACCGACCTTCCCTGGGTTAGTCCCTCCCCTGCTTTAAAGTGCACAAAGTGCTGGAAACAGTTTTAGGATTGAAGCATTATAGAGGAACCATAAAGAGACCTTCACGCTTCAGGCGGGAGAGTGGGCACTGTACCCACCCAACAGAGCGTTTGCCTGTCAAAATCAAGGGCAGCTTAACTTTCTTCTTTACATGAAAACATCGCTCTGCACACAGAATGATTACTTTATTGAACGTTGCACTGGGTTTTATTAAAACCAGAAAAATATTAAACTTTTCCAAAGTCCTTCTCTTTTCTCCCCATTTGCTTAATGACGTTCAAGGTTTCCCTTCTGCCACAACCTCTTCACCACACCGTGGCCGTATCTTTCAAAAATCCCCCAACTTTGGAAGAAAAACAAGTAGCAGAAATGCAGCAAAGTGCACGCAATCACAGATCAGGGTCAAAACAGACTGGATAACGGCAACGCTCCCTCTCTACGAGTCCCTGAACAACAAATATACGTGCCAGCACTTCCCGGGAGTGAGCAACACGAGGGGCAGCTCTGTATCAAGACATTTAAATTTCCCTTTAGCGCTAGTCGGACGGGCTGGTAAGCTGAGAAGCTGCTCTCCCCACCCCGATATCATCAGATCGAGTAAGAGATACTCCCTCTCCCTAGAAACGTGACGTGCTGCTGCGGGAGCTGGTTTGTTTATACGCGTACCGGGCAAAGCTAGACTTCAAGAAGCAGAAAGCAATGAATACAGCCCCAAGCAATAAAGGTCTGAAAGACCTTCCCGCAAACCCAAGCTGCGTGGAAAAAAACCCTAAGCACTACTTAAAAATATGTTGCCGCTGGCAATCCCAGAAAGTTGGGTTGTTGAGGGCTTAATTGCATTTCTTAATCAACTAATACCTACGCCTCTCCGAATAAACCCTGCGGAAATCGCAATAGAAACTCAGGCTGCCGGGAAAAGCACGGCAGCAGCAGGGGCCGGAGAAATAACCACTCTCGGAGCATTCGGCTTATTGACAAACTGCAGATTTAGGGAACAGCCGAGAAATAAAGCGAGTGCTCGCAGGCAGGGGGCTCAGTTTAATCAGAGTGGGGAGCGATGAGGGAGGCAGGAAGGAGGAGCGGAGAGAGAGCGTTCAGGAGCCAAACCGCGAGATAAGCTGATTGCCAGGATGAAGCAAAGGCTGAGTCACTCCCTGTTAAGGGCTTAGGGATAAGAGGGGGGACTGTTTTGCAGACTATTTCCCCAGGTCCGGCTGTTTCCAGTGACGGGGCACATGGCAGAGATGGCGTTTGGTGGGGTTGGCGCCGTCAACGCTGGCGGCCGCGGGCACAGCACTGCCCACACGCCCGCTGCCATCCCTATCGAGGGGACCTCTCCAGGCTGTGTGCCCTCGCTCCAGCCACGGCTGTGGGGTGGGAGGGAGACTGCAGGATGAGGGCGAAGCACAAGCCAAGCTGCTGTCCGAGGAGGGAGCTACATACGTCCATTGTGACCAGGCTGTTGTTGCCAGTGGTTCCCACCACCGTGACTTGATCCCGCCATGACGAAAAGCGCTGATCCTGGGTCCCACTGGGAACAGACCCCCAGCACACCATTACCTGGACCAAGCCCTTCTGCTCGGGCTTTTCCACTCAAGCAAGCAGGTTTGTACATGTATGATTAACACTTCTGTGCCAGTCTTTTCCCAGAAGAGAGCATTTTGGTTACATTTCCACTTTATGTTTTCTCCCTCCTCAGCTCTCCCCCCGTTCCGCTGCCAGGCTGAAGCTCAGAGCAAGAAGCTGTAATGAACCTCAGGGGCCAAGACCAGGGAGAGCCGGGATCGCTCCCAGCTGCTAAATGCACGGCTGTCCTAATGCCTTCCTAAAACAGAGACGGCAAGCATGGCTGTGCAGAAGCGCAGCTATTCTGGTGGGGGAAACTGCGGACACCCAGGCAAGGGAACCCCCGCACCTTGCTGAGAAGGGCCAGGTAGCCCCAGGCTCACGGTAGCCCAGACGCCGCGCAGTCCCCACCTCCTCCCCTACACTGTACCAAGGCTGCGTCCAGCCCCAAGCTGCTCCCGCGTGTACAACGCAGAAGCATTTGGAAGATCAGGGTCACAATTATAATTTCAATTTCAACACTGAAACATCTGCCGCCTCCTGTAGAAGGAAATGAAGGAAAAAAAAGCCATCATCAGTAAGGCATTTGC